CGTCTAGTAGAGAGATACTATCCCCTCCCGTGACTTGCAGGCTATGCCTCTGTTAATGCAACCCAAAATTGCATTTGCTTTTTTTGCAACAGCATCGCGTTGCTGACTCACATTGAGGTTGGGATCCACCACAACTCCCAGATCCTTCTCAGCCGTGCTGCTGTCAAACCAGTTATCCCCTATTCTGTATTTGTGCATTTGGTTTTTCTTCCCTAAGCGTAGCACCTTACAATTGTCTTTGTTGAATTTCGTTATGTTGTCTATACCCCAGTTTTCCAATTTATCAAGATCCCTTTGAATTTTAGCTCTATCCTCCAAAGTGTTTGCAACTCCCCTTAGCTTTGTGTCATCTGCAGATTTGATCAATATGCTTTTTAGTCCTACATCCAGGTCATTAAAAAAGATGTTAAACAACATCAGGCCCAGAACAGATCCCTGTGGAACCCTGCTTGAGACCTCATAGAATATCAGGGTTGGAAGGGATCTCAGCAGGTCATCTAGTCCAACCCCCTGCTCAAAGCAGGGCCAATCCCCAGACAGATTTTTGCCCCAGATCCCTAAATGGCCCCCTTCAGGATTGAACTCACAACCCTGGGTTTAGCAAGCTAATGCTCAAACCACTGAACTATCCCTTCCCCCTTTCAGTCTGATATTATTCCAGTAATAGTTATTCTTTGTTTGTGATTGTTTAACCAATTATGTGTTAACTTAATGATAGTTCTACGGAGCCTGCATTTCTCCAGCTTACTTATCAGAATGTCGTGTGGGACTGCATCAAAAGCCTTGCTAAACTCCAGGTATATTATATCCACTGCATTCTCCATGTCCACCAAACCAGTTACCCTGTCAAAGAAGGAAATTAAGCTGGTTTGACATGATTTGTTCTTAGTAAATCCATGCTGGCTGCTCGTCATCACCCCTTCAGCCTCCAGGTATTTGCAAATGGAATGTTTTATCCATTGCTCTAGTAGTTTCCCAGGTATTGCGGTCAGGCTGGCTGGTCTGTAGTTCCCCGGCTCCTCCTTTCCCCCCTTTTTTAAAGATAGGAACCACCTTAGCCCTTCTCCTGTTTTCAGGACCTCGCCTGTCATCCATGAGTTCCCATATATACTTCCTTGGTGACATGCCCCTCCATTTCCTGTAAGCATCCCTTTGGGATTTTAGATGGCTAAAAAGTTCCTTGTGCAGCCACATTGGTTTCCTGTGCCTCTTCTGATCTTTCCTTTGCATTGGAATAGCTTGCTGTTAGCCTTCAGTATTACATCTTTTAGGAACTGCCAGCCCCCCCTTTGACTCCTTTTTTCCTAATTGATCTTTCCTATTTCTCTGAGTTGGTTGAAATCTGCCTTTCTGAAGTCCAGTATCCCTGTTTCCATGGCTTCCTTTCCTTAGGATCGTGAATTCTATCAGATCATGATCACTTCCTCCCAAGTTCCCGACCACCTTCGCGTTCACAACTAATTCATCCCTGTTGGTCAAAACCAGATCCAAAAGGGATGACTCCCTAGTTGTTTCCTCTCTTTCTCTGCCAGATTGTAAGAGCCCATTATCAAATACTTGTTCCCTATTAGTTCGCTCATACTTTTGTTCCAGGGATTCAGTGGTTTTTACTGCTCAGTATGATGTCAACATAGATTAGTTATGTTGCTGTCATATTATGACATCATATAATTGAAATATTCTTCTTCTTTTAATTTTATTTTTTAAATGGTTAAGGGCAACTCCTCCCTATTACTGCTTGAAACGTTGTATCTTTTTAAAATCAAAAGGCCTCCTGGTTGTGTTGTAACGAAATAGTTTTACGCTTAGACACAAACCCAACCCAATTGCAATAGATCTTGTACAAAGTATGCCTTGTAAGGTATCAATGGGAATGTTATCGTCTGCTAAGTATTATTACCCTGTTTATATGAGTGTAATATCATTGTATATGATGTTATGAATCTTTGCTATGTGTTTGTATCTCAAACATGTTGTGTTCCGGGGTAACACCCACAAGACAGATTTACTTCAAGACCAACCAGCCCTGGTTGGCGAGCCATCAAGGAGAATCCACTCTTCCAATGGGCCCCTCCTGAGGATGTCTCAGAGAGCACATGGATGATGAAGGCCAGTGTCTCAGCAGGGCACATAGGACATGTGATCCATGACTCCATGTTGGGGACAGTAACTTTCCATGCGCATGCGCTGAAGGTATAAATGAAAACTTTTTTCTGCTCCATATCTCTGGACTATGCTTTCTAACAAAGGGAAGCTTTGAACAATGGCCTGAGAATCCCCAATCTTTTGGGTGATCAGGAGAGACTTACTGCAAGCTAGCAGATTTAACATCACTGCTATTATCCTGATCTACCAACTCTGAAATCAACTGTAATGTATATGATTCATTCGAACCTTTTAATAACTCTCTTCTTTTATTATATTAATAAACATTTAGTTTTTAATTTACTAAAGGATTGGCTATTAGCGTGGTTTTTGGGTAAGATCTGAAATATATTTTGACCGGGGGTGAGTGTCTGGCTTTTTGGAACTGGAAGAATCTAATACCTGTGATTTCTGGTTTTAATCATAATTTATCACAGAAGTCTGGTTTGTCTGGGTAGTGCATGAGGGCTAGAGGGGACTATCTGTGGCTCCATAATAACTAGTAGAGTATTTGGAAGCAGCCATTTGTTACTGGCTTGGTGAAATCTTATGATAGAGTATCCACCAGTGTGGGGTCTATGCCCCGTATTCCAGCAGTCTGACCTGAGATAGGCGCTCTTAGCTGTGTCCCATGCCACATTGGATTTGTGTCAAAGAGTAAAACTATTGAATTCCAACACAAAGAGGAGACATTTTGATTATGCACTACTTCTGTATGTGGATGTGAAATAATGTAAAAATGAAAAAAAAAAAGTCCCAAAACAAATGTTCAGAAATGGAAAAAAAAAATTGAAATTCTTTCCCATGGGACACTGAATTGAAATTGACATGTTTTAGCATAAATAAAATTGTTGAAGTCACTTTTTCTGGCAAAAAAACTGACAAATGTCTAGCCAGATCTTGTCTTCTGTGCCATACGTGCGAACAGTCCAGACTAATAAACAGCTGTGTCACTCCGGCCCAGTAATGTTGTGTGTCTCACATTGCTTTGCTGAAGTAGCCCCCACCTGGGCTGCCCCCAAACAGCCTTCCAGCATGCAAGCCACACCCTGGTTCTCGCCAGCCTTGGTTATACTGCAAGGTGACCCCCCAACACACCCCCAGTCGTAAATTTCCCCCCAGAAATGTATGTCCTGTACCGCCCTGCCTTCTCCTGGACAATACAAATTATATTAAGTCTGCCATTTCTTTAATAGAAATAATATGCGCATAACTTGCCACCCCAAATGCAGATTCCCAGACACTTCAATTTAAACACACTGGATTAGATAAAATGACAAAACAAGTTTATTAACTACAAAGAATACAAGTAATGAGGCATAAAAGTCAGAAATGGTTATAAGAAAAACAAAGAGAAAATGTTTACTAATATCTAATTTAACCAACGATCAGATTCAAGCCGTTTCTCACCATACGCTGTCAGCAATCTTACCGACCAAATTCTGCAGGTTAGAACCCTTCCCCTAGACTCCAACGAAGGCTTCCTTTGTTGTTCCAGGTGCATCGAGTATGATGGGAAGGGAGAGAGAAAGGGGGGTGCTTTGGGGTATTTGTAGTTTCAGCCCCTCTCTTGAGAGTCATTTCCAGCTGGGCACCAGGAGCAGTGTTCCCTGTAAGCTGCGCAGCTGCCCAAGAATCAATCAAGTGCCTCACACTGATTAGCAGAGCCACGCACACCTGGCACGTGTGTTCGGGTGCCCTTCCCCCCGCTGCTCTGCATCTGCGCTGCTCCTGCCCTCTGCCTTGGAGCCCTGGCCAGCTGATCCCAAGGACCCTCTTGCTGGCTGTGCAGAGCGGGGGGGGGGAGGGAGGGAGGGAGGCGCTGATATCAGGGTGTTCCCCTCCCTCTGCCTATGTACCCCATCTCCGCAGAGCGGGGGAGGAGGGACAGGACTCAGGAGCAGGACGGAGCTGCTGTGGTCTGAACTAGCCTTCTGGTGAGTGTCTCTGTGCTTAAAGACACAGTGCACAGTCTCTCATAGACTTCCCAGCAGCCAGCACACACACACACACACACACACACACACTGTCTCTCTCTCACTCACACACACACACACACTCACACACACTGTCTCTCTCTCTCTGTCACACACACACACACTGTCTCTCTCTCTCTGTCACACACACACACACACACACACACACACAGTCTCTCTCTCTCTTACACACACACACAC